CCCCACTCTCTCTCTCTCTCCTCCTTCCTTCTTTCCTTTTTTCTTATAATTTACAAAGAAAAAAATAAAAAATAATTAAATTAGTTGCTAAAAATAAATGTGCTAAGATGCGTTTGGTGTACCAAATTGACAACAAATGTATCGCTTGTGTTATATAAAGCGATTGCGATTACCGTGCATTCATTATGAAAGATTGCGTCAGATCGATTTGTATTTTAAACCAAGCTAGTATGATAGAAAGCAATAAATATCTAAATCAATTAGCCCTAAATGTGAAGGAATGCTCGCTGAAACTCACAACGATGCAACGATTAAGAGCTTAGAATTTATCGCACACATATATCTCGATATGAACGTATGCGTATGGGTCCAAGTAGAGATAGTATGCCCCGTACCGAGCTGAACCAAGAGAAAATCCTGGAGGAGTAAGAAGGGGCAGAACCCCCAGCACCTTTTCCACCATCATCAGCATCTGAGTTCCGTCGTGTCTTATCCATGCTCACCTAAACCACAATAAACTCACATAGTCATGCACCTGAACGCTGGCAACGCATTCCAGCACACCAGCATAAAATTTGATTCCAAATTTTACATATTTCATATACTGTGATGTAATATTTTTTGACAAATCGCTATTACTATTCCTTTTCCAAAGTTTCCAAGTTTAGTATATTGCAATGATACTACAAACCTCTGTAGCCGGAGGTTCGTTAGCCTGCGCATCTTGATCAGATTTATCCTTTTTATCTGCTTGTGAATCGACATCCATATTATTTTGTTGTTGCTGTTGCTGATGCGCTTCCTCTTCTTCCTTCTCTTGTTGAGTTGCTTCGCGTTTCTCGATGAGTGAAGCTGATGCAATGGTTAAAATACCATTTAAATTCACTCTTACCTTCACTTTGACTTTTGCTGATTCACCTTCTGGTGTAGCCTTTACATTTTTTATCGTGAACGTTCCTGTATAAAATATATAATGAATATAAATAGATATATGCTTCTATTTTAAATAATAATGTGTAACAATTTAATATTTAAAAATTTTATTTAAATTAGATAAACAAAGATATATCCGTACCAATATATGTTTGGGGATAATATGGAGGCGGCGTACTGTAACTAGCAGTTAGTGTGAACGGACTCGAACGATAGAATGTCAACATTTTTGAGAACGGCACTGGATGATTATGTCCGAATACTTCCATTTCGCTAAAATATCAAACAAAATTAAGACAAATATTTAATTTGCTATAATAACAGCAGAATAACAAAGACTGTAATTGTATATACCCTTCCTCCCCTTGAGTAGCATCCCATGTTAATTTCAAAGGATATGGTTGTATATCCGTAACAGAAAATTCGCGAACACGCACAGCAGGGCTGAGCATAGCACACTGTAATGCGCAACCGCGAGCAACCGCCTCATCTTGATTTAATGTCGTCGATGTTGGTCGACAAAAAACTTCCTCTACTAAACGTTTGATAGCGGGAATGCGGCTAGATCCACCCGCCAACTCGACTGCATGAATCTCTTCCAGTTTTAATTCTGGTAAAGATATTATCTCATTAATACGAGACTGGATAATTCAACGCTAGAATAATTGTATGTAAAATATCCAAGTAAATTAAGTAAAATCAAGTAAAAGTAAATCAAATAATCAAGTAAAATCCAGATTTAATTTCCAAACTTATCATTCTATATACAACTAAGAATTTTGAAATATTCCATAATACATTATGATAGAAATAAATTATTCTAAACGTGAATATAAATATATAAATATACGTGAATATATTCTAAATGACAATAAATAAATCGCAATCATCTTGCAAAGGACTATCAAATCTTCCAAATATATTTTAAAGACAAGTTCTACAGTTGCAGAGATTGAACAAGGATCTTACAATCTTTTTCCATAAAAATTATGATTGATGAAATCAGTTCGAAAGTTTTAGCCCACCCAAGACACAATAAAACGAACATTACGAGACAATATGACTAAGTAGATTACTTATATGATGGATATTTGCAAACTTACTTGAATCTGATAAACATTGCCTAAGAGTTTTTTCAACGCGTTCAAATAGATGAGCACATAGTGCTTCCATATCGTTACGCTTCATCTCGGCATGTACGTCCTTCTCATCCATAAAACATTCGATATTTAAGGGAAGAGTGGTTGAATTAGCTGACATTTGTTTCTTCAGTTTCTCTGCTTCTCCTAACAGTCTCAAGTATGCTCGCGGATTGGTATGTACGTCGATGTTATACCGCGTTTTGAATTCCTTACAAAAATGTTCCGTCAAAATAGCATCGATATCTCTTCCACCCACTTGATCAGCAGTACATGCCAACATCTTTAATATAATAAAATAAGAATAATATTATGGAACGTTTATGAATATATGTCATGCAACGTAACAATTTTAATTTTTATTAAATTTTTATTATATAAAAGATTATAATACTGACCTTAAGTTTACCTTTATGAAAGGCACACACGCTCACTTGCAAGCTAGCATTGCCGCAATCCACAAAAACAATGTTTCTAGGAGACGCTTCAGCCGCTGGCAAATCCTGTTTATAAATACCATAACAAAGCGCGGTAGCAGTGGTCTCGTTAAATAATCTTAAAACATTGAGGCCTGCAATTCTAGCAGCATCTAACATCGCTTGACGTTCAGCTTGAGTGAAATATGAAGGAATTGATATGACACAATCATTAACAGCAGTTTGTAGCGCTGTTTCAGAAATATCTTTTAATTTTGTGAAGAGCATAGCAGTAATTTGCTCAGGTGTAAAGATATGCTCTTCTCCTAGATATTGTACCTATAATATATGAATAAAGAAGAGATAAAGATATTAAAATTAAACTTTTAACAATTCAAAATAATAAAATGTAATTTTTGATAAAATATATTTCTGCATAATATATATAAGTAATATCATTGAATCATCGCACAGCATCCTTAAAAGATATAAATAAGATACGAGTCTCTTCAGAAATGAGAGTTCTGGCAAACTGCCTAAATTTCTTTCAATTCTTAGTCATTGAATTATATGAAAAGGAAGAAACAGTGATTGAAATACTAAAATTTCTTTTACAAAATGTTTCTCTTTTTTCTTTTTCTTTCAAGCATAATTTATTACAAAAACGTGAATCCAAGTTTTATAAATACTTTTTTATATCTTTTCTATTACAATTTACAAAAACATAATCCTGATTGTTTCTAAACAGTGCTAAAATAATAGAAATTCATGAAACTGCTTTTTTTGCATTTCATATAATACTTACATGTATACCAATGCTTCCGTCAGCTTGTGAAGTCATTTTATATGGAAGAAACCGCGACTCGTATTGAACTTGCGGATCATTATATTTTCTACCTAATAATCTTTTGAAACCATGAATAGTATTCTTCACATTTGTCACCATTTGGTTCTTGGCTGCTACTCCGAGTATTCGATTTTTTCCACTAAATGCTACACATGACCTAGAAACCACAGTAGGGATACTTTGTTACTTTTACAACATTTAAGTATTTAAAATATAAATATAATTTGATTTACATGAACATTTATATTTCATTTGTATTTGTAATATTATATCAAAATTATAAGAATTAAATATATATAGAAAAATGTACGTTTTCTTAGTCCCATATATTTCTAGCTTCTGCTTAAATATAAAAATCATAGAGAATAGAAATGTTAAAAAAATAGAACTGTCAAGTTTATCATGTACATGATATATTATATATTATATTATACATACTAATACATATTATATATTATATTATATATACTAATACATACTAATACACATATATATATATATATATATATATATGTATATA